CCATGTAGTCCATCAGTTGCGTATGCCACTCTTCCAGCGTGGGTAGCTCCTGTGCCTTCCAGTATTTAGCTATAAGGATTCTTGCTGCAGTAGTTGCATAGAGAAAAAAAGTTCTGTCCTTTTTTAACACTCTCTGGCCCACAATGCCCAGGAGGAAGGCTTCTGGTTTCTTGCAAAAGGTATACTTAAATACCTTTTTCAACTCATTATAAATCATTTCCCAAAAAGCCTTCACCTTCGGGCATGTCCACCAGAGGTGAAAAAAAGTTCCTTCAGCTTCCTTACATTTCCAACATTTATTATCAGACAAATGATATATCTTTGCAAGTTTGACTGGGGTCATGTACCACCTGTATATCATTTTCATAATGTTTTCTTTCAGGGCAGTACAAGCCGTGAATTTCATACCGGTGGTCCATAACCTTTCCCAGTCTTCAAACATAATGTTGTACCCAAAATCTTGAGCCCATTTTATCATAGCTGATTTGACAGTCTCGTCTTGAGTATTCCATTTAAGCAACAAGTTATACATTCCTGAAAGCACTTTCGTCTTAGGTTCGAGTAGTTCTGTCTCTAATTTCGATTTCTCCACCTGGAAGCCAATTTTTTTGTCCTTTTTAAAAGTTTCTTGTATTTGGGCATAGTGTAGCCAGTCTCGCACCTTATCTTTTAATTTTTCTAAACTCTTCAACTTCCAATTGTCTCCGACTCTTTCTATTATCTCGCAATATTTTGCCCAGCCACCCTCCATGTTAAGCATTTTTGGGGCCTTAGCCTCCATTGGTGATAGCCACCTCGGAGTCTTGTTTTCAAGTAAGTCTTTATATTTGGTCCAGACATTGAACAAGGCTTTCCTGACAATATGGTTTTTAAACAATTTATGAACCTTTACCTTGTCGTACCACAAATATGCATGCCACCCAAACGCATTGTTAAACCCTTCCAGATCTAGGACATCAGTGTTTTCTAGTAAAAACCAATCCTTCAACCAGCAGAAGGACGCAGCTTCGTAATATAACCTTAAGTCCGGCAGGGCAAATCCCCCTCTTTCTTTTGCATCTGTTAGAATTTTGAATTTTATCCGGGGCTTAGAAAACGCTTTTAGAATTAAAATAAGGTCCAAACAAGTAAAATCAAAAAAGGTTCTAGGAGATTGTTTAGTCATATTCAACTCGATAGAGATGAAAAATACAATATTGAGAGTAAGTTACCAAAAGAAATTAATAATTGAAGGAAGACCAATTATCATCTTTAAAGAAATACCAACCAGACTCCTACGCATTTAAAATTGAAAAAGGAACAAGACAAGGTTGCCTTCTATTCCTGCTTTTATTCATTATGGTATTAGAGATAATTACGAACAAAATAAGAGCAACACCAGAGATTCGAGGGATCAAAGTAGGAAGGAAAGAACACAAATTAAAAGCGTATGCAGACGATTTGATGTTATCCCTAGAAGAGCCGCAAAAAAGCGTCAGTAAGGCTCTGGAAATATTAGAAGAATATGGCAAACTATCCGGTTTTAAATTGAATAAATCAAAGACAAAAATGCTGACTAAAAATCTGGGAAAAGATGAAAGAGAAAAATTAAGAGATACAGAATGGAATCAAGGTGGCTAAAATAATAAAATATCTAGGAATTTGGCTAACTACAAAAAATATAAACTTAATTCAGGATAATTACTTGACAACATGGAAGGAAATTAAAAAAGATCTAGATACATGGAACAGAGCGAAACTTCCGTGGTTGGAAGGATGGCGGCAATAAAAATGAACATACTCCCAAGAATGTTATTCTTGTTCCAAAACATCCCTGTGATTAGAGGTTCCACAATGTTTAAGGATTGGCAGAAAACTCTTTCGAAATTTATATGGCAAGGGAAAAGACCGAGAATTAGATTCAAATTACTCACAGATCGAAAAGAAAGAGGGGGATTCTCGGTGCCAAATTTGAAATTATACTTCGAGGCCTCCTGCCTTTGTTGGATCAAAGATTGGATTAATTTGGAAAACACCGACCTGTTAGACCTACAAGGTTTCTACAATAGGTTCGGTTGGCACGCCTACTTGTGGCTAAATAAAGAAAAGGTACATAAAGGGTTTTCAAGTCATATTATTAGAGGACCACTATATGAAGTATGGGAGAAAAATAAAAAACTTTTAGAATGGAAGATGCCCTGGTGGTTATCACCAATTGACATTTTAACAACCAAAAAAGCAAATATGGAAGGAGAAAGATTGACCTACGAAGATCTACTGATAAGATCAGAAAGTGGCTGGAAATTGAGAAAATATGAAGAGCTGAAAGACAAATTAACAGGCTGGCTGCAGTATCATCAAATAAACGCAATATGGATGGAAGACAAAAAAGTAGGGATAAGTGAGAAAAAAATCTAAATTTCAGATAGAAATAATTGAAGGCAAAACCAAGTTATTATCCAAAATGTATGATATATTATTGGAATGGGACACTAAAGATGAAGAAATAAAGGAGGTTATGACAAAATGGGCAATGGATTTGGGATACAATATAGAATATGAAAAGTGGTCGAAATTATGGAGTTATAGAATGAAATTCACGGCATGTGTCACGCTTAGAGAAAATTTAGAAAAAAGATGTATAGGTGGTACATCACACCAGCAAAATTAGGAAAAATGTACAAAACAGGAAATAAAGCCTGCTGGAAGTGTAAAATTAAAGAAGGCAATTTCTACCATATGTGGTGGACTTGTGAGGAAATGAATAAATTTTGGGACCTGATTTATAACAAGTTAAAAAAAATATTTAAATACACTTTCCCTAAAAGACCAGAGGCCTTCCTATTAGGAATAATTGGGGATGAAATTAAAAAAGAAGATAAAACACTTTTCCAATACAGTAGCGGCTAGAATATTAATTGCACAAAATTGGAAAAGTTCAAATACCCCAACGGTCAGAGATTGGCAAACAAAATTATTTGAATATGTTGAATTAGCAAAAATGACGCAAAAAAATAGAAACCAAAAAAAATACAAAGTTTATTAGCGATTGGAATAAATTTATGGTATATATCGAAGGAAACTATAGAAACTTAAAAACTACAGCAGGTCTGATATAAATCTTATGATGCGCAAACCATTAGCTGCAGAAAAAAGAGAATTTTTATCAAGAAGCCCAAAATCGGGAGGGAAGGAGGTCAATACGTGTGTAGAGGAAAGATCTAAATATCTAAAGATATAAAGATTCAAGGAGTAAGACAAGGAACCGTAACGGAAATTGATGCTATTTTTGTGTTATGTATGGATATTTTTTCTTTTTTTTCCTTTCTTTTTTCTGTAACTGTTGTTTTGTTTTGGTTATTTAAGTGAAATTCAATAAAAAGAAATAAAAAAACAAAAGCTTTTGCATATTCAATGAAGCAGAATTAGATGTCTTTCTGGAACTCTCTAGCTTTCTCCATAATCCAGCGCATGTTTGCAATTTGGTTTCTGGTTCCTCTGCCTCTTCTAAATCCAGCTTGCACTTTGGGGAGTTCTCGGTCCACATACTGCTTAAGCCTGCATTGTAGAATTTTAAGCATAACCTTGCTCGCATGTGAAATGAGTGCAATTGTGCGGTAGTTGGAACATTCTTTGGGATTGGGATGTAGAGTGTTCTCCAATCCTCAGGCCACTGCTGAGTTTTCCAAACTTGCTGGCATATTGAGTGTAGCACCTTAACAGCATCATCTTTTAAAATTTTAAATAGTTCAGCTGGAATAGCATCACTTCCACTGGCCTTGTTATTTGCAGTGCTTTCTAAGGCCCATTTGACTTCACTCTACAGGATGTCTGGCTCAGGGTCTCCAGGATGTCTGGCTCAAGTGGTGGAATTAGGCATAGCTAAAAATTACTTATCCATGCAAATTGAGAAGGGCAAAAATGGATCTTTCTTGGTTCATCAAACTGCAAAAATTGATGATCTTGTTGAAATGCTATGTTTAGAAAATGCAAATGGGAAGGAAACACCTATGGTGTGTGGTTTCGCCTTTACAGGTGAAGATAAGTCATTTCCTAACAAAACTTTGTATTGTTCAGCTATAGGCAAGCTAAATTTCATTCAAAGAATCTCAAGACCAGATATAACTTATGCTTTTCACTTTCTGGCAAAATTTGTGGAAAAGCCCACAACGGAATGTTTCTCTGCTCTTAAGAGAGTGGTAATGTACCTTAAACATACCAAACATTATAGGTTGCAATTTACAAGTATTGACAAAGGTTTTGAAATTTTCTGTGATGCATCTCATGCAGTGGCACAAAATAATTGCAGGGGTGTGTCTGGTATGGTGTTTTGTTATAACGGTTGTCCATTTGAATGGAAGTCCCAGACACAAACCATTATTTGTCTCTCCACAACAGAGAGTGAATTATGTGCATGCGTTCAGGCCACTCGTGATATAGAATGGTATCTGCAAGTATTTGCCGACCTACAGATGAAAGTAACACTACCAGTAAAAGTTTACCTTGATTCCCAGAGTGGACTCGCTATCCTATGTTCAGAGACCAATACGCAGCGCACTAGAGTCTTAAGGTTACGTTTACAGTTTGTAAAGAAACTAATTGCTGATGAAATGATTGTATTTCAGTATGTTCCAGGTGACAATCAAATTGCAGATATTTTTACTAACGCTCTTCCAAAGGTTACACATGAAAGACATGTACAAAATATGCTTTATGTTTTTGTTCCACAATAATGAACCACAGGAGAAATGTTGAATGGTCACTTTAAAATGTGAAGGTTCATTATTGTTTCACAAGTTGTGTATGTCTTTAAGGGCCAGGGCAAATAACGAGACCCAGTCTTACAGCTGTGAAACATAGCAGGTGCTGCTGAGGTGTGTTAATCAAGCTGTGTCAGCATTTGGGCATAGTATATAAGGAGCAGCAACTAGCTCCCTCATTATCCTGGGGGATGGGTTGGTGGTTGGGTCTGGTTTGTTGTTGATGTATTTAGTGTACAAGGAGTTTTTGTTTTTGTTATTAAAACCTTGTTTAAGTTATTTTTGAGTCCCTTTTTAATGCATGGTCTCCCCAGCAAGCTCTCTGCAGCGCTACTAAACAGCAAATAGCAAAGAGTTTTCACTTCAACTGAAGCTCCTTCCACACTCTATACATTCAAATGGTTTTTCCCATGTGTGTTCGTTGATGTCGTTTACATTGTCCACTTTGACTGAAGCTCTTTCCACACTCTATACATTCAAATGGTTTTTCCCCTGTGTGAGTTCGTTGATGTTCTCTTAAGTGTCCCCTTTGACTGAAGGTTTTCCCACACTGCATACAATTAAATGGTTTCTCCCCTGTGTGAGTTCGCTGATGTTTTCTAAGGTCTCCACTCTGACTGAAGCTCTTTCCACACTCTATACATTTAAATGGTTTTTCTCCTGTGTGAGTTCGTTGATGTTGTCTATATTGTCCACTTTGACTGAAGCTCTTTCCACACTCTATACATTTGAATGGTTTTTCCCCTGTGTGAGTTCGCTGATGTTCTCTATAGTGTCCACTTTTATTGAAACTTTTCCCACACTCTATACATTTAAATGGTTTCTCCCCTGTGTGAGTTTGCTGATGTTTTCTAAGGGTTTCACTTAGACTGAAGCTCTTTCCACACTCTATACATTTAAATGGTTTTTCCCCTGTGTGAGTTCGCTGATGTTCTCTATAGTGTCCACTTTGACTGAAGCTCTTTCCACACTCTATACATTTGAATGGTTTTTCCCCTGTGTGAGTTCGCTGATGTTCTCTATAGTGTCCACTTTTATTGAAACTTTTCCCACACTCTATACATTTAAATGGTTTCTCCCCTGTATGAGTTCGATGATGTTGTTGAAGTTTCTCACTTTGACTGAAGCTCTTTCCACACTCTATACATTTAAATGCTTTCTCCACTGTGTGAGTTCGTTGATGTAGTCTATAGTGTCCACTTTGACTGAAGCTCTTTCCACACTCTATACATTTAAATGGTTTTTCCCCTGTGTGAGTTCGTTGATGTAGTCTAAGTTTCTCAGTATGAGCGAAGCTCTTTCCACACTCTATACATTCAAATGGTTTCTCCCCTGTGTGAGTTAGATGATGTCGTCGAAGTTTCCCACTATTAGAGAAGCTCTTTCCACACTCTATACATCTGAATGGTTTCTCCCCTGTGTGAGTTCGCTGATGTATTCTAAGGTTTGCCCTTAGACTGAAGCTCTTTCCACACTCTATACATTCAAATGGTTTTTCCCCTGTGTGAGTTCGTTGATGTCGTCTTAAGTTTTCCCTTTGACTGAAGCTCTTTCCACACTCTATACATTCAAATGGTTTCTCCCCTGTGTGAGTTCGATGATGTAGTCGAAGTTTCTCACTTTGACTGAAGCTCTTTCCACACTCTATACATTCAAATGGTTTCTCACCTGTGTGAGTTCGTTGATGTTGTCTTAAGTGTCCCCTTTGACTGAAGCTCTTTCCACACTCTATACATTTAAATGGTTTCTCCCCTGTGTGAGTTCGATGATGTTGTTGAAGTTTCTCACTTTGACTGAAGCTCTTTCCACACTCTATACATTCAAATGGTTTCTTCATTATTCCTTTTGAATTTACAGATGGCCCCCCAGAACTCTTGCCTGTCTTCTCCATCGTCTGCTTCAGAGTGCAGGGAGACAAAATCCTGTTGGTGTTTCAAGGGAGAGAACAAAGGAATATGACACACATCAAGTTCAATTGGCAGTCATCCCAATTAGTATTTATAATTATGATGTGCCACCAGATCTCGTGCCCGTTTTCTGACACAGGACTATCCTAGTGTAAATTCTCTGCCCAGGCCTCTCTCACTGTCCTTTCTCCATTTGCCTCACTCCTGGACGTACCTCCTCTATTTCAAGGCGGAATCTGTGTCACACTGAAGAAGGTCGATATTAAACATCAATATATAACTGCACTTAATGGAAACTTCAGCCTTGGATATTTAGCACTGATTCATTCATAGGATGAAGCTGTTACTTTTATTGCTGGAGACACAAATTTATTTCTGATCTATCAAATACATTAATAGTATTATGTCATGGGGTGTTGGGGCTGTGGAGTTTGGAGCTGACAGGGTTAAAACTCCATGGTGTCCTGTATCTGGGAGGAGCTTGACGCAGAGAAGCACGTCACAGTCTGTGTCACTCTCCAGACTTGCTTTCAATTCTGGCTGAGACGCAGCTCAGCTTGGAGGCTGTGTGTGTGTGTGCTTTTGGAGCACAGTGAGAAATGTCGGAAGTTTCTGATGGATTTACTGCTTTGTAAATAAACGCTTCTAGAGATAAGAACCAAACTGTCTTTGGACTTGATTTATCCCTCATCTCACACGGACGCAGGACCGCTGCTACTCTGCTCTCCTGCCAGGTCAGCTCCCTAACAGAGACGCACAGGGAAGCCTGACTGGACGCAGGATTTATTTACGCAAAAGCATAGGTTATGGAAGTTCCGCGTTTCCTGACAAGTGTGAGAAGGGAGGAAGACTGCCAGCGTTATGTCGCTGAAAGCTCCTGCCAGGAAGGGCAGTGAGGAATGCTGGAGAGCGGAGCCAAAAGCCAGGAAAGACGGCTGTTTCAGAGGTCCAGCTTGCTGGCAAACGCGTGAGTACGCTTAAAGCCCTGGTGGGTGGAAGATGGCTGCTGCTGACTTCTGGGGGCAGCGCGAACGGCAATGGCGGTCCTCTTTACTTTGTGAAGAGGAAGCTCCTGCAGAAACGGGTCGTCTGCTACGGCGAAGCGGAGACCCAGCTCGGAAAACCACAGGCAGCGTTAGCCTGTGGCCGTGGGACTTGGCGGGCACCGGGAGCGCCCCCTGAAACGTCAAAGGAACCCCGTAAGGGGCTCCGGAGCGTGAAAGGGCTGGCGCGGTGCTGTGAGTCGATCGCTCTTTCTGAGGAGTGAAGCCGCTAAGCTGCTGTCGGTGAGCGCTGACCCTTTTCCTGGGACCATTCGGCTCTAAAGGAAACTTCCCGTGAGTAAGTGAAGCTTAATTATCGGGTCCAAATTTGAAATTCGGCACTGCGGGAGACGCAACCAGGAAGTCTGTCTCCCGGCTCTGCTTAAAGATCAAAGCAAAGACAGAAACTTCTAATGCCTTTGAATTTGAGATCTTTAAAAGGAAATAATCTTGGCAACAATTGAACTGTTTTACACCTTTTATGTTTGCGGACTTTACCTTATACTGGTGGATATTCCTTTTAACCTTTTTTCCTCTTCCTCTATGGATTTATAAAACTTTCTTTTTCAAGAAACCCAGGCAGCCGGGCTGCCAGACTATTGGAATTTTGGACTGACTGTCTTTGTTACATTGGACTGTTACATTGCATTGCAGCTGATTTGTTATATTGAAACTGGCACTTTCTAGAGACATTGTGACTAACCTGAGACCAACTCTGCTAAGGCTAAAAAAATTGGAGGACTTTTTGAGACTTTGAAGCTGTCTGATACTGTCACTAACTTGTAAGGGCATGTGGATTAATTTGGAATCTTTGCATGAACAACAACTTTTTTCTTTGTAGGATATATTTAAACTCCCCCTAGAGGAGCTTTGAAAGTCTACAACTACTGGGGGTTGTTTTTCTCTTATTTGGGGACTTGTGGATTCCCACGGGAATTGCAATTTGACTGACTTTGAATCATAGACAGAAGTGGAATGAGTGGGACTGGGAGAACAAGATCAGCTAAAACTAAATCACAACTAACTACCCTAATCTCACAATTGCGCAGATCATCTGTTCCCACTATTTCTGCGGCACAGGAGGAAGAGACAGAGCAAGCTAGGCTGGAGGGAATGGCCGCAGGTGGGGACATAACTTCATTATTGGAAAAAATCTATGAAAAATTGGAAGGCCTGAGTAACCAAGTGACTGAACAATCTTCTAAAATTGACCAAAATACAGTTAGTATTAATAATCTGACTCAACAAGTTGCTTTAAATGCACAATCAATTGGGAAACTTTTGGAAGCCACTACAGAAAATCGTAAACTAGCCGAGGAGGCAAAACAGAAAGCAGAGGCCGTGCATGAGGAAGTAAAACCTAAACACTTACTGGATCTCAGATCTAGCTACGGAGATCTGGCGAAATTATTGAGAAGCAACGGAATTGCATTCAGGTGGGAGTTCCCCCAGGGACTTTCCTTCACCTTTAGGGGTAAGAAAGTTAAAATCAAGACAGTGGATGACAAATAAAAATTCTTGAACGACCACGGAGAAGACCTTCAGAAAGGGATCGGAGGGGAACTTGGAGCCTTAGGACCTGAACTATCAAGTTTGACACCTACACCTCAGGGTACTGACGAATTGGAAGTGATACCACCCCAGGTGAAAGAATAAATAGCCCAACATGTCTCTGCAACTTCTAAGTTGGAACATTCATGGTTTCAACTCTCCAGAGAAAAGAAGGAAGATTTTTCATTTATTAAAAAAGGAACAAATGGACATTGTCTGTTTACAGGAAACACACGTGATTAGGCTGCACAGGAAGGTGCTAATCAACAAGAGACTAGGCCAAGAATTTATATCATCTGACAGAGTGAAAAAGAGAGGAGTTGTGATTTATGCAAAAGAAGGCCTATCACCTAAATTTCTTTTTAAAGATGAGCAAGGAAGAATTTTGGCTATTGAAATTCAAACACAAGGAGAAAATTTTTTGATTTGGGGGATTTATGCACCAAATGAGGGGAAATCGGAATTCTACAAGAAGCTGCATGATATAATGTTGGACTACATGGACTATAACAACATCATTATGATGGGCGACATGAATGGGGTGGTATCTACGAACATGGATAAAGCACAAAGCCAAAGTATGACAAAAGAAGGCAGACTACCAAAGACTTTCTTTGAATTAACTGGCAATATGGATCTAATTGACATCTGGAGAACAAAGAACCCCTTAGGAAGAGAGGGGACATTCTTTTCTGAAGCCAAAATGACATGGACAAGAATCGACCAAATATGGATAACTAGAGGTCTGGCACCCAAGATTAGAAAGGTGGAAATCTGCCCAAAAACCTGCTCCGACCACAATGCAGTAAAGATGGAAATGAGACTAATTTCAACTGGTTCCTTCAGATGGAAGATGAATGACACCTTATTAAGAGACCAGGAGATAGTTAAGAAGGCACAAAAGAATTTGCGTGATTATTTCGAAATAATTTTGAAAACTACAGTTGAAAAAGAGTAATCTGGGATGCAAGCAAGGCAGTCATGAAGGGGTTTCTGATACAACAGAATGCGGTAAAGAAAAGAGCTTTGAATGAGAAAAAAGATAAGATTTTGGAAAAAATAAAAGAAGGAGAGAAAAAACTAAGATCGAAACCAAAGTCACAGGAGATCTTGAGAGAAATTAAACTCTATCAAGCACAATATACAAAACTGATAAACCAGGAAGTTGAATGGAAAATTAAACAAATGAGACAAAGGACTTTTGAATCGGCAAATAAATGTGGGAAACTGCTAGCATGGCAGTTGAAAAAAAGACAGAAATTGAATACAGTTACTAACTTAGAGATTGAAGGGAGAAACATTCAGAACCCTGTGGAGATCAGAAAATGCTTCCAGAGATATTTTAAACAACTTTATACCCAAGGGCCGCAAAAGGAGATTGAGATAGATCAATTTTTAAGAAACAACGGATTATCAGAACTATCCCAAGAAAACAAGACAATATTGAATTACAAAATAACAGAACAAGAGATTGAAGGTGCCATTCAGAACATGCAATTGGGTAAATCTCCAGGGCCGGATGGGTTAACCTCCAAGTATTATAGGACTTTGAAGGACTATTTGATTCAACCACTGAAGGAGGTTTGTAACGAGATTATGGAGGGGAAGAAGGCACCGAAGTTGTGGAAAGAAGCTTTCATCACACTTATACCTAAATCTGAAACTGAAAAGACACAACTTAAGAACTACCGCCCCATTTCCCTTTTAAATGTGGATTACAAAATTTTTGCAGATATTTTAGCTAACAGACTAAAGAAAGTGTTAAATGAAGTGATTCATAAAGACCAGGCAGGCTTTCTCCCAGGCAGACATTTGTTGATAACACAAGGAACATTATTGATATTTTGGAACTATTACAAATGAACACTAATACAAAAGCAGTACTGATCTTTATTGATGCAGAGAAAGCCTTTGACAATATTTCTTGGATTTTTATGAAGAAAAATCTTAAAGGGATGGGAGTGGGACGGGGGTTTGAAAATGGTATAGATGGAATTTATTCAGAACAAAAAGCAAAATTGATAGTTAACAATGTGGTGACAGGAGAGTTTAAAATTGAGAAAGGAACACGACAGGGTTGCCCTATCTCTCCACTGCTATTTATTTCGGTCCTGGAGGTGCTCTTGAACATGATCAGAAGGGACAGGTTGATTGAAGGAATTCAGGTCGGAGCTAAACAATATAAATTTTTTCAAATCCGAATCAGAGCTGGGGGAGGATAGACAGTATTTGGGTCTCGAGGGAATTGGTACAGAACTTAATTAAGTCTGAAATTTGGCCCCGAACTTTATCTGACCATAGTGCGGTTTCCATGGAGTTAAAAGGTAGAGAGGTTAAAACAGCCAGATGGAGAATGAATGAATATTTATTTAATGATCAAAAGATAGTAAATAAGGCTATAGAAACAATTGAAGAATACTT